GGCGGCGCCATCGAAGGGACCTGGTGGCACCTTGCACCGCGGCGGGGGGCTCAGGTAGAGGGGCTGCCCCCATGTCGGCGCGTAGGGCGCCAGGTGCCAGTCCGTGGCATAACAGCCCTCGCCTGGCGCCCCGGGGCCCTCGGGGCCCGGCGCGAAGGGCGGCTCGGGCGGCAGCAGCGGGGACACGAGGAAGGGGCGGCGCTCGGCCAGCAGGAAGGGGCAGTGGCGGAATGCGGGGGGCTCTCCGTGCCCGTTCCCGTCCCCCGCGGCGGCGCCCCACGCCTTGCCAGGCTGCGGGTCACCCGCTGCCACCAAGGGCCGGGGGTAGCGGCGGGAGCCGCGGCTGCAGAGCGCCGGCGGCGCCGCCAGCGCGGCCTCGGGCCAGCGCGGTGCCCGGCGCTCCGTGCCCACCTCGGCCTCGCCCGGGGCCGCCCGGGACAGGCTCCCGCCGGCGCTCTCTGTCCCCCGCGCGTCCCGGGCGCGTGTCCAGCGCAGCAGGGCCTCCCCCGCACTGGTGTCGCTGGCCATGCCGCTGTGCCACTCATGGGGTGCCCAGAGCCCCCCACGCCCTGGGGACACAGGGCTCGCTGTGGGGCGCAGAGCCGGGCAGGGCGCCCTCCCTGCCTGCCCCACGTGTGGTGGCTGCTGCTGTCCCGTGTCCCCATTGCACAACCCCACAACCACGGAGCCCCCCGGGACACGCAAGCAGACATCCCGTGCCCCGGCGCGCACGCAGTCTCCGTGCCAGGCCTGGCCGCGCGCCCGGCACAGGCACCCGGTGCGGGGCGGCCGTGCCCCACGCAGGCATCCGCCTGCGGCCAGGGCTGCGCCACGCGGTCCAGGGTGGCATCCAAGGGGTCGGCTCCCCCCTGCCCACTGCCCCTCCGGGGCATTTCCTTTTGGGCAAAATTCTGGGGGGCATTTGCGGGATTAGCCGTGCCCCGCGGAGGAGCCGCGGGCTGGGAGCGCCTAGAGCTGCAGGTGGAAGGGGTCGGGCTCCGGGCCGGGCAGGAGGCAGAGCCGCCCGCGGCGCCCGCTGCGTGTCCCTGTGCAAGCTCTGCAGCTACACCACTGCTCCGCGCCGGTGCCCGCGGGCCCTTGGCAGCAGCAAGACGCGGCGGTGGCAGTGGCCGCGCACGGCGGGCCCGCGGCTCCCGGGCCGACGCCGGTGCTGACGGGCCATGCCGGTGTGGTGCCCTCCCAGCCCGAGGGCCCGTGGAGGCACCTGCGTGTGCCAGGGCAGGCAGGTGTGCATGTACGCTCGCTGCCGTGCAAAGAAAGCGCCTTTTATTCGATGGCGCGACTGGGGCAACCTGTGCCCCGTCGGAGATGCCACCTGGGCCCGGCCTTGGTGCCACCAGAGTGGGAGCCAGGGGCCAAGCGCCAGGGAGATGGGCACCAGCAGCCACATGCTTGGGAGCTGAGGGCTGGACCCCTACGTGGGCAGGCATGCGGGCCCGGAGGACGCTGCGAGCGATGCAGCGGGGCGTGCAGGGCTGGGCACAGCCGGTGTGCGGCGCAGCCCGCGGTGCCGCCGGCGGTGCGGAGCGCCCCACGAGCGGCCGGCCCCACGTTATGCAAGCGCTGGCGGCACATGCCGTGCCGGGGGGCGCGGGGCCAGCGCACCGCGGTGCCCCGAGCGCCGGGAGCATCCGGCACGGGCGCCAGCGGGAGCCACGCGTTAACCCTCGCTAGGAGCGCATGGCAGCGCAGTGGGCTGCCCCCAAGGCCCTTGCAGCTCCCCAGTCCGAGCCCTTGGCATCCTCGGTGCCACATGCTGGGGTGGCACTGGGGGTGCGTGGGGAGGGAGAGCGTGGGGGGGTCCTCATGCAGAGGCTCCTGGCTCTCCCCCTAAGCCGGCCCGGTGCCCCATCCATGTCCAGCCAGCTGTGCCCTGCCTGGGCTGGCAGCAGCACCCTGGGGCCACCAGTGCCCTGTGGCATGTCCCCCCCACACCATGCACCGCAGCATCCTGTCCGCACTGGGGAAGCAGCCTGAACTGCAGCCTTTCACATGCAAAACAGCCTGACCCCCCCTCCCCGGCTGCCCAGAGCCCCTCTGGCCTCCCGGAGCCCCTGCCCTTCCTCCTCCTCCTCCTCCTCCTCCTGCCAGCCCCACTTTCCTCCCTGTGGTTCCCGTGCGGGCGCCGAGCCCGGCGCCACTGGCACCCCCCTACCTGCCTGCGCTGCGAGAAGGCGGCCGGGAGCAGGTGAGGAAGGTGAGGGTGCAGGTGGAGGAAGGCAGCGCTCCCCGGGCGAGCCGCCCGCCGCAGCGCTCGCTAATCTGCGCCCGGTGCTTAAAAACGTCAAACGCCGGGGAGGCTGGAGGCTGCGCGGCGCGGAGGGCACGGGAGGACACGCACTCCCACACGAGGAGCTTTCTGGGAATTAGGGCCACAGCCCAAGCGCTCCGGCAGCGCGGAGCTGCGGCCGTGCCGGGAGCCGGCCCGCGCATTCCCGCACGTTCCCGCACGCTCCCGCACATTCCTGCATGGTCCTGCATGTTCTCGCACTCCAGCCCCGCTCCCGTGGCCCTAATCCCCTCGTTTGGACGCGAGGCGACAGCGCCGCTAATCCTGCTCCGCGCACGGGGACGAGGAGCGGTCGCGGATGCTACAGCCACGGAGAGGGCATCCCGAACGTGCTGCGCTTCCCGCCGCGCTCTGTCACGTCCTGGCATTGCTGGGCGTCTGGGCACCCGGCCAGGCTGCACTGGGGTGTCCCCCTCGCCACGCTGCCATCCCTGGCGCTCCCGTCCCCCCCTCCCTCCCCGTGAGCCGGTAAGACTCGATGGCATCGTGTTCCTCTCGTCCCCCGAGGGGCCACCCCTTCCCCTGCCATTGCCAGGCACCCCTGGGATCCCGCCAGCGCAGCGCTCCGACCCGGCTTTCCAAACTATATTTACGCACTCAGTAAGTCCCTGCGTGCGTCCCTCTGGCCTCCATTGGCTACTAATTTACATCTAATTATAATAGCGCTTGCTCACTCTGTCCGTTAGGAATGCTCAGGGGAAGGTGCTTCACCTGGGTGAGGGTCTTTTGGAGCTGCGGGTGGGATCATTAGCCTTAAAATGAAGGTAGTTCCCTTAAGGAGAGATGGACCTTAGACTTGCTTGCCGGTGTGTGAAAACATCTGGGTTTTAATGAGCAGCTCCAGGTTGTCCTTGGTCAAGGAGCACAGGCTGCCCGCGCTCCCAATAACGTCCTCGTCCTACAGGATACGGGGCCATCTGCTCCCCTGGGCTTTAGACAGCCCGAATCTCCTGCCGAGCCAGCTCTCCCTGCTCGTGCGGCACAACAGAGCGCGGGACCCGGATCCTGGCACAGGCTGCGGGGGGCTGTGCCCGTGTCCGGTTGTGCGGTGGTGTGGCCAGGGTGGCTGCAGTGTCACCAGGCTGCAGGGGACATGGCCAGCACCTCCGGCCAGCCCTAACGAGCGAGACCCCCGCTCGTCCTCCTGCAGCGCTGCAGGTGGTGCCCACCCTGCCACTGTGCACCATGCGGGTTGTCCCTGGGCCCGGTGGTACCGGGACGGGGACATGTCCTGCCGCCGGCTGCGGTGCCCACGGGGCGGCCGCGGGGCCGAGGTTGGTGTCCCGACGCTGCAGAGCCCCCGTGGGCGCGCGGGGAAGCTGATTAGGGGCTGCGAGCGGCACGTGGGCTCCAGCGCCGGGCTCCTCGGCGCAGCGCGGCGCGAGGCCGGGCGCTGGCCGCGCCGCTGCCGGGCTCGGCGCCCCGCGCGCGGGCAGCGGGGCCGGCGCGGCCGGGCGAGCTCAGGTCAGCCGCATAATTGCGCCGCTGGGGCCGCGCCAGCGCGGGCAGATTACGGCTTTGCTGACTGCAGCCTGGCAGCGGCCGCACGCTGACACAGCTGCCAGCGGCCGCTGCCACCCGAGGGGCTCTCGGGCCCTGCCCTGGGCGCAGCCGCGGCCGCTCCCACGGCTCCCGGGGTTTCTCTGGGACCGGGGAGAGCGATCCCAGCCCTACAAGGTGCTGGGGAGGACCCTGTGCTCCGCCAAGGTACCCAGGACTCCACTAGCCCTGGCACACGTGGAGAGCTGCTTCTAGCTCCGGGCCATATCCTTGGAAGAACCACATTCCCTAAGCGGCTTCCGCAGGATTATGGGCACCCCGGCCCTGCCCCCGGCCGCACCCAGCCTCCTTTGGCGCTTCTTTGAGTAATCGTCTCCGAGACGGTTTTACACCCTAATCCTGCCACCTCCACCTCAGCTGCCCCCGAGCCCCCGTGCCCCTTGGTGCCCCTCCAAGCAGCCACCCCCTGCGCGGGCTGGAAACCTCTGCCCACACCCCGAGCCCCACACCCCCAGTGAGCAGCCAGGGGTTAAAAATACCCTCGGTGCGAGGAAGAGGCAGGAAGGATTGGGCGCGAGGCGATTGCTGCTGCAGCGCCGGGCACAGCAGGACAGAGGGCTCCCCAGGGCACGGAGCGGGAGATGTAAGGCGAGGGTGCCGCCTCGGGCCACCCTGCGCTGCCCGGGAAGGCTGCGCTGCCTGCAGCCCCGCCAGGGGAGAGGAGCAAGGGGAGCAGGGCCAGGGCTGGCGTGTGGCCCCGAGGACAAGCTGGGGTGGCAGCCAGAACGGGGACCTTGCTGGCTGCAGACCAGCCTGGGTGGCAGAGCCAGGGCACGGGGACAAGAGGGACAGCCCACGGGGCCACAGTGGCAGCTGCTGCTGCCCCACGGGAGCCGTGGTACCGCAGCAAAGGCAGGAGGGAGCGGTGCCTGCTGCCCTCCCTGGGGCAGCCTGGCACGGCACTGAAGCCAGGGCAGGTGTGAAAGTCAGAAAGAAGATTTATTGTCCATGTACAAAACTCCTGTGTGGAGAGCGGTGCCCACAGGGGCTGCTGCTCTGCTTTCAAGTAAGGTGGACACAGGGCCAGCGGCGTGGACGCTTGGCAGGGGCAGAGGGGCCAAGGCACGTGGCTGGAGGAGAGGGGACACAGGGAGTAAGGCAACGTGGTGACAGGAGAGCAGGGCCCCAAAGGGACACGGAGCAGAGGATGCTGCTTCCCCATGGAGCCCTTAGGGTTCACCAGAGCAGAGGTGACCGCAGCGGGGCCGGCCGCCAGTGCCGACCTGCAGCAGCGGCGCTGGGGACAGAGCCGCCCTCCCTCTGCAAAGCAGCCAGGCTGGACGGGCAGCCAGGAACTCCCCGGCCGTGCAGGGCAGCCAGGAAGAGGCAACGGACAAACGGAAGGGATTGGAAGTGTGGAGCGGCAGGGAGCCCTGCGCTGTCTGCCAGGCACAAGGCTCGGCGTGGAGCAGCTGCGGGGCTGAGGACGCGAAACCGTGACTCCCTCCTGGTGCCGCAGCAGCAAACATGGGTTAAAACTCCTGGTAAAGGGCACTAACTGTCCTGGTCCTTCTGCACGACCTTCCTCCTGATCCGGGCACGCACCAGGCGGGAAGAGCCCTGCATGGGGAGAGGGAGGCTCACATCCCGCTCGACACAGGCTGGCCCCGCGCCGGGCGCCCCACGGCCGTCACCTCTTTGCCCTGCGGCTTCTTCTTGGCCCCGCGCAGGCTCTGGCTCCGGGAGAGTGGCTTGGTGTCCCAGCCGTGGGTCGTGGCATGGGGTGAGAGCGGTGAGTCCGACCAGCATTCCTCCTCGTCCGTGTCGCTCTCGCGCTGCCGCCCGGCCCTGCTGTAGCCTGAGGGACAAAGGTCACCCATGCGGTCACCGGCGGCTGCCAGCGCAGCTCGGAGCGCACAGAGATGGGTGGGAGCGCGCGGATCCCGGCCCCCTGAGGCGGCCCCGCTCCTCACCCAGCGGCTGCTCTGGGCCCTCGGGCTCCTCCAGGTACAGGGGGTCTCGGTAGTGCACGGGCGCCTCGTCGGGGAGCGCGCGCAGGTCCTGCATGCTGAAGCTGCGGAGCCGCCCGGCCAGGGCGCCCTGGCTCTGCACGGGGAGAGGAGCCAGGGCAGGAGCATGGGAAAGAGTCCAGGGCACCGGGAGACCCAAAGCACCGGGCAGGAGTGGTGCCAGTGTGAGGCACAGGGTCCCTGGGACCCCCGGCAGCCCAGCCCCAGGCACGGAGGCTTCCCATGGGCAGGTCGCTGCTTGCCACGCACTGGGGCAGAGGCGACGGGAACACGCGGGAGGCTGGGCCGGCACAGCCGGGAGAACAGGAAAGGCGAGGAGCAGCTCAGCCACCAACAACACGGGGCAGCAATTTCCTGCTGGGATCCCGGGATAAGGGCAAGCACGGAAAACCGGAGCACAGCCGGTGCCGCTCAGGGTACCTTGGCGGCCGCCTGCACGGCGGCGGTGGCCGCTATGTTGAGGCCCTTCTTGCCAAAGCGCACCATGGTCTCGTAGCTGCGCTCGCGCGCTTGCACGAGGTACGTGTCGATCTCCTGGTGAGACAGCGACCGCGGGCTGAGCGCGGGCGGCCTCGGCGAGGAAGTCGGCCCCGGCACCCGCCCCAGCGCCGCTCTTGGGCCTCGTACCTGCTCTTTGCGGGACAGCGTCGGGTGCACGACTTTGCGGTACAGCAGGCTGGCTCCTCGGGTGTACGGGGAGAGGAGCCAGATGACAAAGGCCATCTTGATCTCATAGTAGAAGGGAAACCTGCCCCGAGAGGGGGACGACAGAGAGGTGAGGGGGGCCGGCAGCACGGAGACACCTCCAGATCCACTCCCACCACACTTGGGAGCCCCAGAGCAGCCACGACCTCGTGCCAGCCTTACCAGGAAATAAATATGTCAGTGAAGGTCTCCGTGGCCATGAAGATGGCGAACACGATCCAGTACATCATCCAGCGCACCTGCGGCAGGGGCAGCGGCTCTGTCAGCGCGGGAGCCGAGGGCTCCGGAGGCACCGGCCCCACCTTCCTCATACTCACATATTCCCGGATGTTCTTGGTCTTCACGGCCTTGTAGGACGCGTAGGCAGGATAGAGCGTGCCGAAAACCAGCCTGTAGCGCAGAGGGGGCGTGAGGCCCACGGGCCACCACATGTAGAGCAGCAGCAGCAGCGAGTAGCCCAGGCGGCGGCCCCAGCGCCGCAGCTTCGCCCTGAGCCCCTCCAGCACCAAGCCGGACAGGGGGTCGGGCACGGGGAGACGGGAGGGCGCCAGCGCGGAGCCAGGTGCAGCAGCAGCCGCTGGCCCCGCAAGCGGAACCGCCTCCGCGGGGACCGGCCCGACCCGCCCAAGCGGCTGCACCGGTGTGGCAGGAGCTGCGGCGCAGGCCCGGCTGGAGGCAACGTGCAGGCAACTGCCCCCGAGGTGTCTGCGGCCACCGGCCAGCCAGCAGAGCCTCCACTAATGGGGACATCAGCCGCAGGGGTGCCACGAACACCAGGGAAGCCCTGGGCATGGCCCAACGTGGCTGGTCTCTCCCCGGGGGTGGCACCCGGCTGTCCCCAGAGCAGATGTCCTCCCCAGGCCATGAGCCACCTGCAAACATGCTGCACGTGGCCGGTGACTCAGCCGCTCCCCTCCAGGTGGCTGGGGCATATGGGGACGTCCCTGCACCGCTGCACGGCCTCGCGCAGCAGAGGGGACCAAGCTGCATCCCGGGTCCCTCTGAAGCCAGACTTCGGAGGACACTAGAGGTGCCCCTGCCGAGTCAATGGAGTACCCAGCCTGGGGCTGCAGGGCCTCCCTCTCCCTGCGGGGACCTCCTCCTGCTCAGCCTGGTCACCACAGAGCACTCAGCTCTTCCCTGGCCGAGGCTGCTTTTCCGACACTGCCATCACGAGCAGGATTCCTGGTTGTCCCAAGGCCTTGGGCAGCAGCTCCTTCCATGCCCTCCACAGGCTGGATCCAAGCCCCCTGCCTGTGTGCCCAGTAGACCCGTGTGTGCCAAGGTCTGCCCTGACATCCGCAGCCACCATTGCCTTCACATCCCAGTGCCCCACAAGCTGGGCTCACGTGGAGCTGGGTAGTGGTGCCGGGTGCCACTGCGGGATGAGCCGCTGCCTGCAGAACCAGGGAGCCATCCCGGCAGTGCGGGAGGGAAGCCAGGGCAGCACAGGAATCCGACTCCGCTTTCCAGCCCCGCTGCCGAGGGGGATGGCGGCCACATGCTGGCACTGGGTACTGGTGCCAAGGCTGGTGGAGACCATGCAGGCCGAGCCCAGCGGGCTGCCGTGACGAGCCTGGTGCCCGGGAAGGCGCGCGGCTGTCACCTCCCATGTAAATATTTAGCGGAGCAGAAGAGCTGCAGGCCCCGGAGCTCCGCAGAGCAGCGGGCAGCGCCGCAGCCCCCGCGGGGCCCGGGGCCCGTCCAGGGGCCGCGAGGCTCCGAGAGCCAAAGCCCAGACCCGCCTCCCTCTCCCCCCGCCCCGGCTTAACGGCCCCAGGCCCGGGCCCCGGGGCCGCCGCGGCCGGGCGAGGGGCACTCCCGGTGCTCGCCCGGGCTCCCCCCCGCGCCACTCACACGACGGCGCGGCTCAGGAT